TTAGGACGACGGTGGAGGAAAAAGAAAGGACTCACAGGTGATGAAAGCGATAAAGGAAGGAAAGGAGCTTCTTGGAAATCTTCGAATTCGTCTTCATCCCCCAACTCAAACCGTTTATCCACCTCATAAACAGGACTTCTCGAAATCTCCACAGGCGAATCGTTCACTCCAAACACGCACACCTGTTCCAATCTCTGATGATCAAAGCTCAAGCTTTTGACTTCGGGTCTTGGCGTCGCCGTTGTTGACTCTGAGAATGTCGTCCAAGAGGTGGTTGAATCTGTTGGTGAGGGTGGGGAGCTCCATGTTTCGGAGGTCGGACGGGGGTTACGGATTGAGGCTAGGAGGGATGCCGCGAGGGCTTCGGCAGGGATTGGGAGGAAGGCTTGGGAGGTGAGTTGGGAGGATTTGAGGATTGGGCGGATGGGTTTTGGGTTTGGGGAGAGGATTCCGGAGGGTGGGTGGGAGGAGGTTAGGATTGGGGTCGGTGTTGAGGTATTGATGTGGATGGTTGCTGTGGAGGGTATTGCTGATATGGAGTGTGGGTGAGGTGGTAAAGGCGCAGCTGAAGGATGTGGGGAGCGGATGGTTGGCTCTGTTGATAGGGGCGCGATGGAGTGGTCGGGGAGGAGGGTCGCGGCGGATGATGATGTGGGGTATGGCCATCCTTCTAACGTTGTTGGGTCATATTGGCGGTTTCTTTTGAGAGCAAAGGTCGTTGTTGTTGCGGCTGTTGAAGTCAGGTCGGAATGGAGAGTGTCTGTTTCTCCTTCCGCTTCTTCTGTCGTTGAGGTGTCGTCTCCTGCGAATGCTAACATTCCGTTGGTTTGTCGGGGATGGTCGGGGATGTCCTTGGATGGTTCGTTGAAATGACAAGGCTCTTTGGGTATCAGCACAGAAGCAGTGGCGGTAGCAGTAGCAGAAGGGGTATCTTTGGCATTGGTTTCTATTGATTGAGTCGATGGTTTTGATGGATTCGGAGTTGAAGGAAGAAGGTGTGGCCCAGCTGGTTGTTGATGGTATGGTAGTGAAGTAGCCTGGTGCAGCACCTCGTCACCCCCCTGATACATCCACAAACACACACAGTCTGTTGAGGGTTCTCCTGTATCACTCTGTGGTTGCTCCAGTGAGTCCGTCCGTCTCCGTCGCCCTCGTCTCTCAGCCAGCCAGAGAAGCAGCAGAGAATATGTCCGGTTCTCTCTGCTTTCTTCCTTTTTTCCTTGATTATTCTTCCCTACCCCCAAACTACTAGTATTCCTATATTAGTTGTTGTCAAAGCTGCTCGCTGAGTTGGTTTCGGAGTTTGAAATTTCCTTTTTGTTTTTGTTACCATTTTCTAATGGATTCTGCTCTTTCCTTCTCAACTTCTCCAACCTCCTATTTAACTAACGAGGGTCTGACCACAGGCACAACATACTTGTTTAAAGGCTTTTTGAATAACAACGGAATATTGAGTATGCTAAATTTCGGTATTAAGACTGTCCATTAGAATATTTGAACATATAGACAATACCCGCTCTTTTGAAAATAAGTAGCTCTGATGGCTTAGTTGGTATAGCGTCGGTCTCATAATCCGAAGGCCGTGAGTTCGAGTCTCACTCAGAGCATTTTTTTTCCATTTCCTGTTTGCCTTCATTTTCTGACCCTCTTTTTAAATGTCCGAACAGTTCGGATGCGACGTCTGCTCTGAGAAGGCAGAGAGAAAAACCCTTGTCGTTGATCCCGCGATCACGGATCCTTTTGGTCCTTGAAGGGGATGGAGCCAAGAACCAACGGTTCTCTGCTGTGAAGAGAGGGGGATGAGATGAAAAAGGGGATGTTTGGATCTGACCCCATCCAGCAAGGGGCTCAAGAGTATAAAAAGGCTAGAAAGGAATAGGATTCAAGAGAGGAGGGCTCACACGGCGTCTTTCTCTTCCATTTAACCACTTGGTCTTCTTGGGGCGTCTCTTCTGCGTCTCTTCTGCGTCTCTTCTGCGTCGCTGCGTCTCTCGCCATTCAACACATATTGGTCAGCTAATCTGTCCGCTTGCAGTGCTCGATCCATCCATCCATCCAATCCACCCATCCATCCATCCATCCATCCATCCATCCATTCATTCAATTTCATCCATTCCATCCGTCCCCTACACAAACAACCATGAAGAACCAATCTGCACTGCGAATAGTCCCATGCAGGCTGCTGCCAGACAGTGGCGGTGTACTCATCCCCCTCCCCGAGACATCCGCAGCTGACATGGACATTGCGACATCGCTAGGAACCTCCAAAGAATACATTGCGGAGATCCACAACGGAGGAACAACATTGCTCTTTGTAAGTTTTGCATCCACACTTCTTCATGAATGGTTCGGTTTGCTCAATTCATTGCATCCAGGGATTCGTCGACTTTCAGAGACCCAAAAAGAACAACAAAGTCATCGAGATGAGCAAAATCAGGATAGATCTAAGACTCCAAGGAGTGGCAAGAGCAAGACCTTTGAAAAAGGCCAAAGTCTTTGAGATATCCTTTCTCTCCCACGAGGTACCCTCACCGTTCTTCCTTTCCCTACTAACCCAACAAACTCTAGCGCAACCTGATCCGCAACCTCACGGAACTCCCTGTCCCAGACCCCGACACAAACGCAATCTACATCCCGTTCTCCTACCCCATCACCCCAACCCAATACTCCCAATCCCTCCCTCTCTCCTTCACATCCCCGCGCGCTTCCATCTCCTACGTCCTAACCGCAACCATAACCTACACGCCCCTCACACCTTCCTACGCATCCAATTCCGAAACGAAGCTCCACGCATCCGTTCCAGTCCGACTCGTCCCTGCTTGGACGGATGCGAGGATTCCGGATGGGGAGCCGAGGGAGGTGAGGAGCACGGCGAGAATGTGGGGGAACATGGAGCCGATGGTGATGTTGAGACCAAAGACGTTGGATAATGTTGAGGAGGATGGGAGGTATGGAAGGAATGCGAGGAATGCTAGGAGAGTTGCTAGAGTTGTTCAAGAACGGAGCCAGCAGGTTTCTTCTGCTTCACAATCTGGAGGGGGAGAAGATCGATCTTCTGAGCCGTCTTTGGACGGACGCCTCGATCAATCCACGTCTTGCAACTCCATCGCCCCACAACACCAACCACCTGAATACACCATCACAGCGCATCCGCAAGACGACATCTCCACATCTTCTCCAACATCATCCCAGGACGAAACAACACTCGTTCATTTTACCGAACTCCAACGACGCCATCGCCGTCCATCCCGTGTCAAATCATCTATGGCAACATCGCCTTCCCCAACACCATCCATGGATCCACCCACGTACGCGTTTTCAACATTAAACAGCAGAGTAGACGACGATGACGATGATTTGCAGACTGTGAGAAGCTCGGATGAGGAATCAACAGATGAGGAAGTTGAGGATTTGGAGATTCATGAAGCTTCTGCTGGTACTTTGACAAGACAACCTTCAGCCCTGTTAGTGGGGCCAGTGAGTCGGAGTCCAACCGTGTCAGCTTTAACTTATCCATCTACAACACCACCCGCATCCCCATCGCTGCCATCACCCATCCCGACTTTATCCAACACAACCCAACAACCAACCCGTCAAATCCGTCGCCACTCCTCTCTCCTCACATTCTTTTCCCTTCCCCGTGTTCAATCCACCTCCAACCCAGTCGACCCAACACCACCGCCAGTTCAGCAGCTCAACAATCAACGCCGAAACCTCACGACCCGTCGCTCTCTCTCCCGCCTCGAAACAACTCTCAACCGTCTCCGCCGTTCCAGCGCCATCGCGACATCTTCAGATCGTCCCCTAAACTCTCCCACACCTCCCACAACAACATCTCCACCCACATCACCCCTTCTCCCTCGTTTCCGAATCCTATTCCCCCAAACCCTCCTGGGCCCATCCACAACCTTTCCCCTCCTCATTCGAATCCTCAGCATCCCACCAACCCGCCAAATACACAGCATAACGTCAACTCTCGTCGCCAGGATCACAACGTCCAAAACCCCTTCGGGAAAATCCGAAACGGTCCATAAGAAAAAGTTGGCAAAGGCCGTGATGCGGAAAGATGATTTGGATGAAGAAGGAATGGGTTGGGAAGGGAGGTTGGAGATGAAGGTACCGGAAAAATTGGAGTTTGGGGTTGGATTTGAGGCGCCTGGATTGGTTTTGACGCATTACGTAAGTTTGACCTTGGATCGTCCTCTTTTTTGCTAAACGATTTTTTTGAAGGTCAAGGTGAAGCTCACGCTTTCTTCGAAAACCGGTCTCGGCAAGAGAGAAACTTTTGTCCTCGGCAGAGTTTCGGTCTTGATGCTACGGAACTGAGCCTCCTTTTTTTTCTTTTTCTTCTCTTGTTCCCTGTTGCTTTTGTTCGTTTCGTTTCTATCTATGGCACACATTCCCATCCGCATTCGCTGTTTTTGAACTGACATTGCACTCTTTTTTTGCATTCCATTTTCCATGCACACCCTCGGTTTTCGCATCATTTCTCAGTTTGTCGTGTTGTTCCGCATTTGTTCTTGCTGGATTCCTTGTCTCTGTTTTTATGATATACTTATGATATACTGTTTACAATCTGAATATCTTCATCTGCCGTCAAGCTCAGATTCCTTTTAGTGCAAACGCCATCGGAAAGAGTTGGATTTTACAAGGATATGGTGATGTTTTTGTGATGCGAGCTACGGAGTCAAATTTGGATTTTACGGCAAGTATATTTCAGAGCCAAGGGCCAACGGGCGGCCCGTTCGAGAAGATTTCAGATAATTCAGATGCCAAACATACCGGCTGCTTGATGATATCAGATAGCAAGAGAAATGGGAGGGCCGAGAACAGGTACCAAGCAAATGAAACAAACATTTGCAGCGTCAAGAACAGCGAGCAGCTGCACGCTCGAGCTACAGGAGGGTGAGCTGTTTGGGGGTCCAACCGGAAAATAATCAAAATCTATAAAATGTCCCTTCAAAAAAAAAAACGGAATTTAAGAGACTTTGATAAAAAAGTGCTCTGAGTGAGACTCGAACTCACGGCCTTCGGATTATGAGACCGACGCTATACCAACTAAGCCATCAGAGCGTCTGAGGGAACAAAATTTTATGGCTTATATGTTTCTTTGGTTTATAGTTTAAGAATAAGAACTAAAAGGTAAATTTCTGCAATGGTTTTCGGCAATAGTCAAAGTTGCTTTTATTCTATTTTTCTTCACCTGATGATGAAGTATCTTTCGAGTCCTGACGACTCTCCTTCTTTGCGCTAACAGGCGGTGTGGCAACCGGAACCTTTGAATCAAATATATGAACTGCGCTCAAAATGGCGCAACAAAAATCCGCTCCAACCCTTTCCAAATCAGCTATTTGTATATGCTGACCCTTGGGCATGCTCAGACTGTGCAAAAATTCGATTAAAGCATACCTTCTTATCTCCAATGTCGGCACCGCAGTAAGTGCTTTCCAACGTGTAGCTGCCCACGACTCCCATCTCTCTCCATATCACGACACGAGCTGTTGCCTCCTTTGATCTCTCAACAACGTACTTGCATGACCCTGAATCAAACATGGAGTTTACGGAGGCAAGCAACGAAGGGAAGATCTGAATTCAATTCATTAGCAATTGGGATGAAGAAGAAAGCAAAACGTCCACCTTTTCAAGGCCTTCCGCATGTCCTGGCCCGTTTTCGCAGCCAAAAATAAACACATTCTTCTTTCTCGAATGACCATGAAAGTCGCATGCAATCAAAGGTCTGTGGCCACCATCGACAAGAAACTTCCACAGTTGCTTTGTCCAGTAGATGGTGGGTGATCTCTTTTTGCAAGGACTCCTCCATTCTCGGTTCAGATCAACTCCGGAAAGACCGCATCGATGGCTGGATGGATTCAGATCAATTGACTGCTGAAAGGGTCTTACCTTCCGTTGATGGCGCCGTCAGGATTGAGCATTGGAACTATCTTAAAAATACAAGCACGTCTCAGGGCCGTTGCAGTCTCATCATCTCCCATTAAGAAGCGAATTACACCTTTGTGTTTTGAAAGTCGGTTAAAAAAAAAATGAGGATCGGCAGGTAGCTGTTAAGCTTACCTTGCATAATATAACTAGAATTCGACTCTCCAGGATGTACCTTGACAAGGTTAGATTTTGAAACCTACAAACCCTTACCCTAGAGCTCAAGAATATATACACTCTGCCCGCAATGGGATGACTGGTGATACTCTCTGTTTCATTGTTAACGAATCCTGAAATCGCAGCTTGAATACCTCTGTCAAACGCCGTGATCGTCAAGAGATCCACTTCGTTGCCTCCCTCAGATAAACACAACGTCTGCCTTCTACACCTCTCATCAAATTTCGTCGAATTCTTCCGTGTGCCTTCTACATCATCCGCTGCTTCTGGCGAACTGTCCGCCCCAGATGCTGGTTGCGACTCGGTGTCTTTGAACTGGAGAGCATTGAGCATTCTTGTCAGGTCGGAGGCTGTGTAGGGATAGTGGTAGGCAATGTACAGGATGTCGCGAGGATTGGATGTTGTAAAGCAGAAGGACAGAGTGGAGTACGTGGACGAGCAGTTTTTTCCGGCTGATTGGATGGGTGGAGTTCCATTCCTTTTTGGTGGTGTTTTGGGTTTGCGGTAGTGGTTTCTGCGAATAGAAAGTAAGCCTGCTTAATAGTTGGTTCTGTTTACTTGTAGAAGCAAACGGAATCTCCGCCTCGTCGCCACACTTTGTCATAGATGGAGTAGACCACTGGTTGCATGCCTGACGAAAACCACTCAGTTTGGTAATGAGAAAAATCGAGACTTTACCCTCTGCAAATTGACTGTGACCTTTGCTCATATTGATGATATTGAATTTGTAGGGTTGGTTCACGACCATGTTGGTCACGGAAAAGTAGAACCACTAACAAAAAATCAGTACAATCTACAAATTTCATTTTCCTACCTGATTGTGCTTCCCTGGTACAGAACCAATGTCATTTTGCAAAATCAAGTCGTACTCTGATTCGGATGCCCTGATAGCCAACTGTAAATTCCCGCTCTCGAACTTGGATTCGAAAAGTAGGATGCTGGTAAAAGATGTCAGAACTCGTTAAAAATTCGGTGACGAACGAAGTATCAGCGGCATATGCCTCTGCGGCCGTCGAATCATCCATCACATCGTACACAACAATGTCGGTGAACATTCCAGGTTTCAGGATCCTCGTCGTTTGTTCAAATACGGTCCTCCTGATTGAGTTTGTGGAACGCCGCTGGAGGGGTTCTGCTTCGAGGTTTGTGTCGGCGAGAGTGAGTGATGAGGATGATGGTTGGGAAGTTAGAGGGGATGTGGATGGAGGGCTCGAGGAGGAGGAGGAGGAGGAGGAATTGCTGTGTGCTCCCGAGTGCAGTTCGGTGATAATTTGAAAGGCTGCGGGTGTCGAGACGTTTGAGGAGGGTATGGAGAGTGCTCCACCAGGCTGCTTTGAAATGTTGTTCGGAAGGATTCCGGCGACGGTCGGCGAGGGTTTGAGCTGATCTGTGATGCGGGCGACGTTAATGAGGGCACCTGGGATAAGGAGGTTTGTGGGAGCCACGGCCTTGTGAGCACGGAGGACACCTGAACTTGGGCTCGGTAACGAGACAACACCATTCTTTTCAGCGATCTCAAATTCCGGACACAGGGATCTAAGGTGAGCCACTTCGGCATCGTCGTCCAGAGTGTCATCCTTTGAAAGGAATGAGAGGTGGGAAATGGAAGCAGCTGTTTGGGGAGGCGTGGATTGGCTTGTGGCTGCTGCGTCTGCAAGGAGGTTTGTAGAGCTGCTTTCGTTCGAGGGTTGGTTGCTGCTGTAGGGTCGGCGAGCTCGGAGGCGGGGTCTTATTGAGTTTGGGAATGATTCGGAAGGTGGTGTTTGGCGGTACATTTCGGAGAATGGAGTTCCAATCGTGGAATCCAGTGGTGATATTCTGTGTCGTATCAGGTCCATATGGGGAAGATCCGTTTCGGAAACTGCGGCTCTCAGTACACCTATCAGCAGAGATGGTAGAGAGTTCATGCTGTTTGGGCCTTGCAATGGGAGTGTGCAATCCGCTTCTGGTAATGAAAGTGTTTTTAATCGAAGGAAGTGCTAAGTTAAACTTACGAAGCGCCATCATCTCCAGAGATGCTGTCAGTACATCGATACCGTCTGTTTGCGAAAAAGCTCGACGGCCGTCATCTGCTGTTGTTAGAATCTGGATCGAATCGAAACGAGGAAACCTGTCAAAACTATAGATCTCAATAACTTCAGGCAGCATTTTTGCAAGGATTCGCAGTGACCCGATGACGTGAAAAGCGTCACGAAAAATCGTGTACCAAATAGCCTCAGGATATCTTTCAGCAACTGATCTAGATAATGATTAAGGTCCTGGTTTCATTCATTCACAAACCAGTCTTTGAAAAAATAGTGAGAAGATCAATTAGAGCCTCTATCTGCGAGGTTTCTTTCGTCGTGTTTGAGCCCAAACTCTTCAAAACATTCGCCATCACTTCCAAGACTCCCTTCTTGTGCATTGCGAGAACGTTTGTATCTTTCCAAAAGTCAGCATTCACATTGAAGTCATATTTTCTCACCAGCTTTTGAAGATAGAACTTTTAGGGTCTGGAGGGCCAAAAGGACACCGGAACTGTCCTTTCGTTCATAACATCTTTTGAAAATGTCCACCACTGTCTCAATGGCTCCGTGAAGTCGAGCAATAAGCGGCAGTTTAGGATCTTTGTTTGTTAGTTCTGCCATCGAATTTGCAAATCAAACCATTCTTTGATAGTTTGCATATTAAAGTCAGCAGATTACCCAAAAGTTCATCTATTCGGCTCGCAGTTAGCGCGGCAGAGGTTCCGGAAGCAGATTTTGAAACAGGCTCGGGAGGTCCGGCTAAGGATGAAGATGATTGCGAAAATGACGGGTTTGACGGTGCCAATGGTGGCGTTCCGGATTGAAGATGAGGTTGGATTCCCTGAAGATTCCGAAAAATGGCTGTTGTGGCGTTCCGTCTCGCTAAGAAAGCCAAAGCCGTTTGATTGCAGTCATGAGACCCGGCCATTCTTATCAGGAGGTTTGTGATGATTATAGAGACGTCAATATCTGGGAGAACCTGGCAAACTATCAGAATCTGGGCAAGTCAAAATTCTACCTTCAAACTCTTAAGAAGCACATTTACGCCGCAGGCTCCAGGCGTCCTTGCAAACAACACCTTATACAAAGCTGAATCCGAAGTCAGATACGGCCCTTCCTTGTCAATATGCCGCTTGAGCTCCAAGCACTGCTTTATGATCCGACGTCGAAGATCCTTTTCTGGGACCTGATTTTGCTGTTGCTGCTGCGATAAAAGATAATTTGAAAACTGCTGTCCAGTGATATTAGATTGGAACAGTGAAGGCTCCGAGTAATGCCTGGGGAATGGAAGTGGAGCTTTCACACTAGGTCTTCGGGAGGCTGGAGCGGAATTGGATGTTATGAGTCCGTTTGGGGGAGCTGTTGGGATGACGTTGGCTGCGGATGAAATCAGGGGAGTGGAAGTCATGGGGCCGTGGGGGAAAAGGGTTTGGGTTTGGGTATACTGAGTTGTGGGGATGGAAGATGCTCCAGATGGCGTAAGAGGTCTTTGCGTGCTTTGCGGATTTGATGTAGGAGGTATCGTTCCGGGGTTGAGGGAATTCAAGTTGGTCTCTTCGGCGGCGGGGGGCGTTGCACACAATATGGAAGCATTTAGGGCAGGATCTGAAAGAAGTATTGCAAGATTTTCCAACGCGCGTTGACAAAGTGATGACGGTGAGGCTGAGAGAGAGGACGAGAGATGCGAAAGCGGGCCGAATTCCCTCGTTTTTCTGCATTGCGGATCGAAATAGCGTCAGCGTGATGCATTGGCAAACTGTTAATAGCCTTGCTGCTTACATCTTTGGAAACAAGCTCCCTGAAGCTTTCCCATTCTCTGCATCCGATCCCTTCCTGCTCTTTGCCACGCCGTCTCCAGAAGATTTCCGCACCCTTCCCACTCCGCCCGAGTCCTTTGCCGGCACCATGACCGCTGATGTGGATCCATTAGATGAAGTACCCGGGATAGCAATG